CACTTCAGCCAGGCTGTTGTCTACAATCAGGGCACATCCCCAGTCCACAGAAGGTCTTACAGGCACAGCTAAGGTTTTATGGCGGAGGCCATAGGATCTAAATCTGTGGATGAAATACCTTATTACTTCAAGATGCTTTAAATACATCAGGGAGTAAATCTCAGGGAGGGTAAAGAGCTATTTAAGCTGAAGGACAATGTCGGCACAAGAACAAATGGGTATAAAATGGGGATGAATAAACTGAGGCTGAAAATCAGAAAAAGGTTTCCAGCCAACAGAGGGGTGAGGCTCTGGAGCAGCCTCCCAATGGCAGCAGTGTGGGCAAGAAACCTAACTGATTTCAAGATGGAGCTTGATAAATGTATGAGAGGGATTCTGTGGGGTAGTTGCCAGTGACAGCAGGGGACTGGACTTGATGAGCCAGCAGGTCCTATCCAATCATATGTTCCTGTGCTTTATAGTGACATGGAGGGTCCAGGTCCAATGCCGATTGACTGTACTGTGACTTGGGTGTGTGTGTGTGTGTGTGTGTGTGTGTGTGTGTGTGTGTGTGTGTGTGTGTGTGTGTGTGTGTGTGTGTGTGTGTGTGTGTGTGTGAGAGAGAGAGAGAGAGAGAGAGAGAGAGAGGTGTGCGTGAGAGAGAGGTGTGCGTGAGATACACCCACACACACACACAGACTTTTACAAAGTTTACCTAAAATGCATATATTTTCCCTTCAGGTGATATTTGTCAGACTCTTACAATGGGAACATTTTGCCTTCTAACGATACCCTTTAGATAGTGCCTGTGTGGGTGGATGACTCAAACTTGCAATGATGATTCCATCCCCTGATTTTTTATTAAAATGTATATATATAATCTTAGCAATTTGTAATGTTAAGGCAGCAGCCGATTCTAAAAGGAAATATGTGCAAATAGTGCTAAAATTCTGAAATGAATCAACAATAGCCAGGAAATTCATAGATAAAGCAGTTGCTCTAGCCCTAATTTATGCTCTCATGCCTAGCTATTGCTGACTATATGACACATAACATTCACCAGAGGCCAGCTCCTACTTTATAATCCCCAAGAGACAGGTTATGGATGGCATGTCAGTTTCAACTTTGTCATTTACTTTGTGTTACAAATTTTGGCAACACCTAATGTAGCTTTCTATAAGTTAATTTCCTTTGCAATCCTAAGAGTTTCTCAAAACCCTCATGCTACTATGGGGACCACAAATAGCAAATGACACTATGAGGAATGGACAGAGAATCAAAAGAGTAACGAACTATTGCTTCAGCCTATTTTCTTTGCTGCCACAGTAGTATTTACAGCAGAATGGGAAAAAGAGGATGCATTTAAAATAGACAGATGGCTGACAAAAGACTGAGAAGTTCTCATGGGAAGAGAATGACTAGCCAGAAAAGAGGTGGAAGAATTGCCTGGGCATGTGAACAGACTACTCGAAGATGTGCTTATTCACCCTACAACCCAGAATCTCTGCACACATTTACCCCTTATTAAAAATGTGTGTAACTTTGAACAATTTAAATTGTCTGATGTTCATACCATACAGTACTGTATGACCCCGTGGACCCCATAACAACAATGCAAGTATGAATTAATTACATTACCCCTCAACAAAAATAACATTCTAATCTATTTGGTTTTACTTGGGCTCTTATACTGCACTTATCACCGTAGTAACTGATCACTTGCACTTTTAAAAATCCATTTCAGAAGTGAATGGGATTGAGCCAAACACTCTAGATGCTACCATGATGCCAGAGAAGCCTAACAGATCAGATGGCTATCTGGGCCTCAATCTTGCAAGAAGTCCCACCCAAAATTCCCATTAACTTTTGTGCAAGAAGGTTCAATCCTTTAAGGATTTAGCATATTGCGGCTGGTATTTTGAAGGCACCGGAGGGGGTTTAGGCAACCAAATCCCATTGAAAGTCAATGGGAGTTCGGTGCCTAACTCCCATAGGCTCCTTTTGAAAATCCCAGCCTGTATTATTAATTTCAAATTTGTTACTATGTTACAAAGGTTGTGATGCGGCCGTTAGTACATCAGTATAACTCCCATATGCCCTCACCAACGCCCAAAGCTAAAACGTCTTAATAACTGCTACCGAGACTGTAAACTCTTTGGGGAAGAGATGGTCTTTTTGTTCTAGGTTTGTATAGTACCTAGCACAGTGGGGTCCTGGTCTCTGGCTGGGGCTGTTAGGTGCTACAATAACACGAATAAATAATAAAATAATACTTACTGCTGGTAAAAAATAACAAATGGCCAAAAGAGATCCCATCCTTTTTTTTTTAAAATGACTAAGCTATATTTTAGTACACAGTGCACAGGAAAGCATTTCCACCTACGAAATCCTTCTGTGCTAATATGGCTTAAGAGGAACTGAATCAATTTAGCCCCAATTTTGTGTGTAAGGAAAAAAAAATGCCCCCGGGTTGAGATCTTTTCTGCTAAGCTAAAAACTGGGGCATATCTTCATGGCAAAGTTACAAAGCCTTTGAAAATAAGTGTTTGTAAAGCAAAATGCTCCAAAAATTTATAAGTAAATTCTAACGAGAAGTCTGTGTCTAACAGCCAAAGAAGAAACGGGTGATTAGCAAAAGAGCTCAGACTCCTGTATTTTGAAGAATGAGTGGGATATCCTTTGTGAACAGAGATGAATGAAATAAGCTGCTCTCCAGTGCAACGGCACAATTACAATAAGCCACAAACCACATTGAGCTGACATGGGATTAACATTCACATCGACTGCCACTGGTTTTATAAGCCAGCTACTCAGCACTTATTCATGACATTTCACATTAATTACCAGTAATGACACTCAGTGATTCATATTCAGACTGACTCTGTTTAGGCCAGGCACCTTCACTCCCTGGGCTGAATTTTGTGATGACCAATAGCCTGTGAAATCAGAATGCAGTCGACAACATGCATGAATTTTACCTGATTGGGGGGTGACCAAATTGCAAAGTAGGGTAGGGGTGGTTAAGGGGGCCTAAATCTCTGGTCTGTCACTGTTCTGTGCAGGGCTGGTCTCCCTGTGCTATGTTAGAGCAGCTTGAAGGCCATCTGCAAACAGCCTGAGAGGAGTGAAAATACATCTGAGAATCAGCACCTCTCAGCAGTATTCTGGCCACCCTCCCTTCCTCCAGCCAGGCCCCCTTTTCCCTGCAGTGCTAGCGGCAGGGAGGGTGAATGGCACAAAAGTCCTTCTGCCACTACAGGATTACTGGTGTCTCCCCTTCCCTAGCTCTCTGGGCCAGTTAAATCAGCTTCACTGCAAGATTACTCCAGTTCAATAACACAAAGAGGCCACGCTGCACTGACAGAGAGCTTGCCTTCGTGTCTGACACGGATATGTAAACACTTCAGAGCAGAGACCTGGCTTTTCTGTTTGGTTGCTTGCTGCTAAATGCAAATCTTCTAAATAAATAAGTTGCAATTCCTTCCTCAGTCACTAGGAGGTAAGGGGTCTGTGAGCTATAGAGGAAGTTAAAATGGGAACACCCTGGTTAGTGTGTAGCAGCGAAGTCTTCCAGAGCGACATTTGAGCAAGACTTAATCCACTGCCATCTTGTCTGCATTGTGCTAACCTATTTGATCATCAACTATGAGAGCATCTAAACTTTGCCTAACCACATTGTTCTCCCTTATTGCAGCCCACAATGGGCAAGCCAGCTCAGCGATATTATCAACCAAACCCAAACTCTCATCCAAACTTCCACAGCACCTTACAAGGAACACAGAGGGTGGTTATAAAATCTGCACACTTCCCTTAAGTGATATACCTTAAGTGACATTTTTAGTTAAACTGTGTTTAAAGTGTTTTATACTAGGTACTGTATATTTCTTACCTTTAATAAGTATAGTAAATTCCCACTGGGGGAAAAAATCATTTGAATAAATATATTTGGAGAACATACTTTTTTTCTTCTTAGCTTAAATTAACGTTCAGCTTGCAAAATTGACTTACAGAGAGTAGAGATAAAATAGACCTGTCAAGCTTGTGAGATCTGATTTATCCTCAGAACATATAAAACTTGGCTTGCTTGCATGTTGCCCCACCAATACGTGTAAACCTTGTTCTAGAGGGACGGTTTCTATCTAGCTCCATTTCCATGCTCGTTGAATCATTAAGCTCTCTGCAGAGCTTGTACAAAAGGTCCACTGGGAAGTAGACCACGAGCTTCAACGTCTTCCACGTTGCTCACAGAACAGCCGTCAAACAGTAAGCACTTGTGATTAGAAATTATCTGGGCAAAAACAGAGGAATCAGACCCCAGGTCCATCTAGCCCAATGTCTTGTCTCTGACAGTGACCAATACCAGATGCTGCAGAAGAAAGTGCAAGAAACTCCACAGTAGGAAGTTATGGGATAATCCACCCACAAGGAAAGTTTCTAACCCTCGTCAATTAAAGGCTGGCTTATGCCCTCAATCATTGACCTGGAGAAGTCAATCGCAAAGCACTTTTCCAGCCCCAGAGCCACATTCAGCTTCCACATATCTATCTAGATAAATAGATATAGCTAGACAGAAAACTTCTTGCTTAATGGCCATATAGCAAATGTGATGATACATCTAGGAACACAGATCCTGGCCCTGCGTAAAGAACAAGGCATTTTCCTGTGTAAAGAGCAAGGCATCTTTATCCAAAATGTTAGTCTAACTTTCTCCTGCAAAATTTGGCCCATTCAGAACATGCTTGTTTTTTTAAAAGCTCTTGCCTTATTTGAAAGTGAAAGGACAGAGACTGAAGCTAAAAGCAGACCTGAGATCTGAATATAACTTCAGACTATGGCCTTCCCCTCATTTTAGATCTGGTGAGCTGTGCCACTTAAAACAAACCTTTTATTCTCTACTTCACACTCAGAATGGCGTTCAAGTTATTTTAAGATTACGCAACTAATAAAATGAATGCAGGCTCACCGACTGCCTTCCCCTACTGTCTAATTACCCCCTCCCCACCTCAAACAAGGTTCCTTACCATCCAATTCCTCCACAGAGATATTGGCTAGCTGTTCACTGTCACTGCCAGCAGAGAGCGATCGATTCAGGTAGTTCCCCTTGTATAACAAGCCAGCCGTTACATGGTGGAATGGCATCTTCTCCCTGCACACGAAAAACAAGCAGAAGAATCATTATAATACTTTTTCTTTTCTTTCTTTTCAGAGAGCAATCAGCTGCCTTTGAAAGAGCAGTAGGATTAAAACCTTCTGCATCTCAGAATGATGAATGCTCAGAGAAGCCAAGTTCATGGCTGATGGATTGCAGCCTTAATTTTGTCGCTACACCAGAAACTAAACAAAGAACAGGGTCTTCTTCATTAAGGGGGAGAGTTAGCATAGGCAGAATGCAGATGTCCTAGCCAAATAATAATCCTTTGCATTTACCTAGCAATGTTCAACCTGGAGAATTTAATAGAGTGCAAAATCACAAGGCGTCAGAGCTGAGATGTTCAAAGCTGCATAAGGGATCTGAACGCCCAATTCCCATTCATTTAAACTGAACATCCAAATCCCTTAGGCAGCTTTCAGCATCTCAGCCAGGAAATGTTAGTACTAGTGCTGAGTACCAATCCTAAGTGAGATTACATCCATGCCACAGTTTAAAGAATCTAACTGCAGTGTTCTTGCTGAAGGAAGGAATTTCACCTTCAAGCAGAGACTGGAGATGAACATTTTCATCCCAGTATATGAATGTTGCAGAAAAATATTACTAGGAAAGCATCCCAGGAGATTGCAATGGAAACTTCTTTGCAATTCACCTACAGCATAAGCAGTGCCCACCATAACCTAGGGTACGTTTCATCAAAGGACAGCCATTTCCCCAGTCAAAAATGGCAGTTACATGGCAATAATATACAATGATTTAGGATGGACAGGAAAGGAGCAAGTTCGCTGTAACCAACTGAAACTATGTTTGAAACTGAAATGTTTGTAGGCCAGATCCACAACTGGTGTAAATCAGACTCCATCTCAGCCGTAGCACATTTTATAGTGTAAAAGATCCACCTTCAGCGGATATAACAGCAGAGTCAATGGAGCCATGTTGATTTGTACCAGCCAAGGCTCTGGCACAGTGTTTTTACACAAACTGGAATTTGGCCAGGACACAGGCCAAAATACCTTGGGCCAGATCCTCAGCTGGTGTAATTCGATGTAGCTACATTGACTGTGCTGATTTATAGCAGCTGAGGAACTGGTCCCTTGAATGTTCTCTATAAAAACGTATTATAGGGTCTCTCCTTTGCATCTCATTCAAAGGACATCACCTCTACATTCATGCTGAAGCACTGCCTCCGAGAGACAAGTGCCACCTATTGAATCATGTCCTCAACTTCTGGCCGCACTTGGGTAATAATTACAGGGGTGATTTGGCTCTTACAACCACCATATGTTCTTAGTATAGTCAATAAAACAGACGCATATATATACACATACACTCTCTATAGAAACACATGCACATCTTAATCCTGTAATGAATGACTTTCTACCTCACTGAGTTTATGAAAGCTTAAATAGCCTTAAAGAGCAAACCAACCTGATACACGGGTAACACAGAATGAGAAAAAGTTTGTTTCCCTGTCATTACTTTGTACATACATAGCAGTTCTCTTGCTGTAATTATGCAAACAAATCCTAATCCTTTTTAAAATACATTTACTTTGGAACTAGTTTCTTCAGCAGCACATTAAAAACATAAATAGGTTTTCTTTTTCATTAAGCATAGATAATTTCCCAGCACTTACCAATTAAAGTGTTTCACTCAGATACATCAGTCTGTGTTGCCAAGGCACTAACTTTATATACACAGCAAAAGGAGAACAGCGAACACCATTTCAGTGCCAGTTTGGATATTTAAATGCTGACCAGTCAGACAGCAGTGCCAGCAAGTTGTGCATTCATGTTGGCTGTCATGTCACACAATGAAATATTTAAACGTACATTGATCTGCATGTTTCCTCCATAATCATACGTCCAATATAAAAGCAACGACACTGACTTTTGAAATCCCATTTAATTAGAGAGGGGCTTAAACCAAATCCCTCAACCTGAGCAGTCACATATTTGGGGCTAGTTTGATATCTAAAATCCAGATCTCAACTCCTCACACAGGGTCAGACGTTTAAACATGCACAAATCAGGCAGCTGAGGGCACACAACAGGCCAGAACGGTGTCCAAGGTTATCCAATTTGTGTGCACAGTTGCAATAATTCACACGCAAATAAGGTATGGATTTCTGCATGTAGCTGCATACCTAGCCATTTTAAAAATCAGACCTGCGAATCCTTGTCTTTATAATGATTTTTAAAATACCAGAGTTAACCATCCCCTGAACTTCGGGATGTTTGAAATCTACATCCAACTGCTAGCAGAGTGAAGCTTGAGGTATCCTGCCACCAGAATGGAATCTCTCTAGAGAGAGATGAAGCAGAACATTTGGATTGCAATACCTGGATTGTGGGGGAGCCATACAAAAAAGGGAAAATATTCTGAAACTAGCAAAGTCTTTATGGGAGAGTGGGTAAATATCAACCCATCTGGTAATCAGGGATGTGCTCTACTATAGACAGTTTGTTTATAGACAGGGGGTCGCTTTTTGTCATATTTGCTGGTGGATTGTTGCATGATCAGTCTGAGCAAAATCCTCCTATCGCAAGCAGGGTCACAGAGGGTGGTGGAAACCCGATGACTCTTCGGCAAGAGGTAAGAACGACACTGCACATGGCGTTGCCTAAATGAGACACAGCTGGACTATGTGTACACAAGGGAGATGTTAAGATAGCCTGTGGGTCCATGATTACACTAATCTAAGCAGCCACAAACCTTAGCAGTGGTCATGTGCAGCGGAAGTCCTTTATTAACTATGGACGGGTTGCAGAACTGGCTATGTCTGCAAACTGGGAAAAGGAGTGTACTCCGTTCTCCCTGCCCCAAGATAGCCCCCCACCATCAAGAAGATTTACTCCAGCTTTGTGTGAGGCAGGTGGATTTCACCCGGTGTACCTCCTTGTCCTGACCTTACATAAGTTGCATTACACTTCCGGAGGCATTAGAGGAGCACAACACCTTGAGGGACAAAATACCTGTGTAGGCCTGACCCTGCCAGACCTCAAACCACACAGTACTTCAATGGGAGTTTTTGCTCGAGTAAGGTCTGCAAGACAAGTCCCTCTCTCATTTGTATTCACACTGCTGTACTGAATGTTTTATGTCTTTTTGAGGAAGGCCCTTTGTGGTAGAAATATTGACCTTTTCCTCTTCGCCTGCAATAAAGAGAAAGTGACTCTATCTTAATGAGTCTGAGCACTTAATTAATGGTAGTTTAAAGAGACAGCCTTGGTGGTTCACTGCTCAGGCAGGAACTCTTGAAAGAGACTATGCCTTAAAGGAAAAGAAACGGCAAGGCATTGTGTAACCCTTTCACAGGGGGAAGCAACCAGGTGTAGCAAGGGGCTGGCATTGCCCGGCACTCTTCAGAGCAGCCAGGCTGGCAACATTACTAGCCTAGAGACATTCCTGCCCTCAGGAGACCTCACAGTGCTACCCAGCCCAACCCTTGCTCAATTGAGAGCGGGTGGTACCCAGCATCCTCTCACACTTGGCATGTGACCGGAGTCCCTATTGCTGAATTTGTAGCCATGTCAACATGTTTCTCATTAACTCATTAGGTGGGAAACGGGACACAGCACTTTCTTCTGCCCTTTTACAGAGACAGCATAAGAAAGAATCCAGAGTTCTGTCCTGCAGGAAGCAGCCTCTGTAGCTGATCCATCAAATACCCAGTCACCACCAAGGGTTCTCTCCCTTCCATCTGGAGGGTTTCCACCTGTGAAGCAGCTGCAGAATGCTGACCCATCCTTTGCCTGGCTGAGCTCACAGCTGGAACGGACAGCAAAGAAGAAAGGAGGTGTTCCTGTGGAGGATCCACCCCACTTCATAATGCTAGTGACTGTGGATGGGAGAACGGGTTTCACACCACCCACCTGATCTCCAATTCTGGAGCCCACTGTGACGCTTTTCAGGGCACCCAGGGCTGAGACTCACCTCCCTGCCACCTGCCTCCATTGTGAGGGAGTCTTACCGGTGTCCGCTGGGTGTTAACTCCCTAACACAACCAGCCTGTCAGGTACTGAAGCACTCTCCTCTGAGCTACACCAGCCCTGCCTTTGCCTTGACAATAGATGCTCCCAGCCCCTGGGTCCCTACAAAATGTCCTCCTATGGTGTCCAGCACCTGATCACTGGATAACCATAGAAATCCCAGATCCTCTGCTCACAAAGGAATAGTGTATCCCAGCTTACCCATTTTACCTTAGCCCACCATGCCTGCACCACACACAGCACTTGAGCTCAGTCATGGTAATACAGATTTAAGAAAGACGAGAGATTCAAATAGAAACCAGTGCGAGTGATGGACACAAATGGCTACGTACAAAACAAAATCATAAAACGTGAACTAGGGCTTACACGTATTACACATACACATGCATTTCCATTACATGCGTCTGACGAAGTGGGTATTCGCCCACGAAAGCTTATGCTCCAATACATCTGTTAGTCTTTAAGGTGCCACAGGACTCTTTGTTGCTTTTCACATATTAATAGTTACCTTTCCTAGCCAACAGAGCAGAGTCTCACCTGCAAGTACAGCCTTTTCCAGTGTTTTCTAGTCTCAAGGAGACAGGACCCAGTCTTTCATGAAGCACTCCCTCCTCAGTGAATGGATCCAGAGTGTCTTTCTCCATCCTGTGATATACTGAATCAGTCTTTTGTCTTTATTCCCCAACAGGATGCGCCCCTCACTGTCCTATCATTCCTTTTCACTTCCAGATAGTTTCAATGTTTATAGTTTGTCCTTGATGGTTTTCCACTGACTTTTCTGGGTTAGTGCACTGAGCAATACATTACGTAGCCAGTTAGCCAGGGAGTGGTGACAACTTCCTGCCACCTGAATGGGCCAACACTGAGCTATATGATTCCCTGCTGACTAACATTTACTCCAAGACCATAAGGGCATAATTTTCCATATAGTTACATTATTCCTTAAATATGACCCTACACACATCTTGCCATGGTTATGAGTATCGATAAGATACAAGCTTTCAGTAGACACCTCACATGCTACCCTTTATGGAATACTACTATGAAAGTGGTGTATCAGGGGTAGTGAGTTTATCAGGTCTGAGACAGGAATTGCTTGTTAAGAACCTTGAGTCCTTTGCCAGTTGGCACCAGTCAGTCTCTGTGTGACACCATCTCCCAACAACCTCAACACAGCCTAGAAGGGGGAAGTCCACCTCAAACTTCCAGCAACAAATAAAGGCTCAAGAGAGCAGCTACTGGTATGTTTTTCACATGATGTAACTATTTTGCATAGTTCAAGAGACAGACAGACTCTCATTTAGGGACTGCAACACTGGTAAAGCTGGATGAATACTACAGCAGGTTGAAAATCTTCCACTGGAACTGGTTTTTGAAAGAAAATTGAATTTTCAATCGCAAAAAGAGTCTGTTTCCATGAAAAAGGTTGAGTTTTCATTATTAAAAAAAAAAAAGAATCTCCCAAACCCCAAAAATGTTATTTGGAAATGCTGCCGTGATGCCTCAAGGAGTTGCTGGTTTGGGGGAACCAGGTCACCAGTCAGACTACATTTCTCACCAGGCGTGACAGCAGCATTTTCAAATATATTTGTTAGGGTTTTGGTACAAATACATTTGAGGAAAAATGTAAGGTGCTCCTGGACAATTCATCAACAGGAAAACAAAGCGAATTTCACTGAATAAATTATTTACTACTAATTATTCATTCAACTGGTGTTTTGGTGTCAGGAGTCTTTTTAGCTCAGTGTTTCTCAATGAACGGTCCCTGGACCAGTGCTGGTCCCTGTGATCTCCCTGACACAGTTTAGAAAGGTAGCAAACTGGTCCCTGGTATCAAAAGGTTGAGAAACATTGCTGTAGCTTACATTCTTCTTCAGCTCCTATGTTTAAAAAAAAAGAGTTTCAGACATTACTGAAAATTCATCTGATTGTTAAACTGGAAACTTTCTTTTAACTAGAAATTAAGTGCATTTGAGGCCTTCACTGCAGGATTAGGATAATTTAAGTGGCTCTGGCCAATAGATTGCTCAAATTTACCCTGAAACTATACTGGCAGATATGTGATGGCTACCAAAATATGCAACATTTTTATTAAATTCTTCATTATGTCCAGCAATATATGATTGCCAGTGATTGCCTCAAGTACCTTCCACATGAAGATGTGCAAGCAAAGAATAGATTTGATAAGAAAGAAAGAAAGAAAGAAAGAAAGAAAGAAAGAAAGACCACAAAATTATTAGATTGTAGGGAAACAAATTTATGAGCCATAAAGCACCCTCAGGTCCTGTTGTAAGCCCCTTTTGCAAAGATTCGCCAAATTAAGTAGTGGGGCTGGGTTGAACAAAATTGGAGGAAGGGTCAAGTACAGTAACTGAGGCAAATAAGAGAGAGATCTCTGGCACTTTACCCATCTCCCACGGAGTTGAAAGATTGCTGATACAGTCTTAGGTATCTATATGAATCAGGCTAATAATTGAGCTTCTAACTTGGCCCAGAGGAAAGATCAGAATAAAACACAGATATGTCCTGTTGATGCACAATGACCTATCTTGAATAATTTCACCCTCCATCTTCTGAGCATGTCAGCCAGGCGAGACAGTTGTCTTTCCAAATATTCCTCATTGTCTTCCTCATTCTGTCCTAGTTGCTGCAGGTTTAACAGACACATCACACCATGGAAGAGGCAGTTACTAGAGAGCCATCTTTAGTCATGCCCTCCCTTC